AAAATCTTAAAGTAAATAAAAACCTTCATCTATATGTCAAAAAAAGTAGTTAAATAAAATCACTGATGGAGATAAGAAATTTTTTTTCGCTAAGCAAACACGCAATTTCCTTGGGTCACTCTGAACATAAAATATTTGGATGGGGCATTTTGCTGATCAGGTACGTGCCATAGTTTACCATCATTTTTTATGTACAAACTCAATATGTGACCTCTCCTTTGTTCCTCTATTATGTAACACCTCTTTAGCATTTGCCCATATACCTGGCATCGCTTTGTAAATAATTCTCCTAGTTATTTATTTAGTTCTCAATCCTTTCTTTAGTTGGATTTTGGTTTGTTTGTTCACCTCCTACTTTCATTTATTCTTATTATTATTTACTTGATTATTTATCTATATTGGTTTGATAACTATCCCCAATATTTAGATAATTATACACAATTTTATGAAAATAAATATATATTTAAAATAAATTCATTGCGAAATGATTAAAATTAATTCAGAGTATTTATTGCAACTTTCTTTTTATAAAATGGAATAGGTCAGGAAATACCTTCTTTATTTATTTATATTCATTGCGAAATGATTAAAATTAATTCAGAATATTTATTGCAACTTTTAATCATTTCGCAATGAATTTCTTTTATTATTGCCGAAGGATTTGACTTTATTCACACTAAATAACAACTCGCTTCTACCAAAAAATAATTTTTAAATTAGTTTTTGAATAATTGCTGATTATTCTATTTAAAAAAAAAAGGGAATTGTTGACAATATGCAAACAAAGAAATTTAGCTTAAAATATACTTATGATAATTTTGAAATATTATTTTTAACATCAACACCTGACCCACTTATCTTTTATTTTTTTCTATTGTTTTTTCCATATATATATATTTTATATAAAAATTATCTAATTTAAAAATATAATTTCCAGAACAAAAACTACTCGGTAAAGTCGACCTCCAGATGTTGTGACTTTCCCTATTCAAATTAATTGTTGTTGTTTCCCGTTGGCCGGCTCAAATCTTTCTGTAGATATGTAAATATGTAATCTTCTATTTTATTTATTCTTCAAGTATTTCTTCTTAAAATGTTTTATGAGCACAATTAAAGCAAATTGTGAGTAAAATTGTTCTTTTATTATTATTTCAATGACTGCATAACAATACTATTTTATATATGGTATTATCACATAAAAAATAGCAAATAATTTTATCATCAAATTAATATTTCTTCTCTCTCTTAAAATATTTATTTTACCATATATCTTGAATAAGATTAAATGTAAATATAACTAAAATAACAGTAAACGCTAAATTATTCTTATATACATATATCAAATTCTCGAATGCTCTTTTTCATATTAATGATATGCAAATAAAATAGAATAGAATATGAAAAGAGGCATCTCTTTATAGTGCAACTGAAAGTTGTTGATGGCTTGCGCCATCTATCGGAATAAATATCAACTATTCTGGTTGATTTTTATTTATTCCAGAATTGGCCAAATACCCATTCTTGATTAATCAAGAAAAGCTAACCACTGACGCATTTCGGGCTGTTGGCCCTCATCAGCGTGATGCAAGCTGTACCTTTAGAATAGAATATGTTAATTAAATATATATTCTTGTTCTATATAGAATAATAGATATATATTCATATAAATGATTCTGATTGTTTGTTTTCTATTTATTTTTTCTGAATATTCAATTTGAAAATCGAACAGTTGAAGCTTTGCGAAAAAAGGAACCATTCAAAATTCATTAAAACAATACATTTGGTGGATTTCCTTTACATATAAATTCGATTGTATTTCTTCAAAAAATAATTTTAAAAAATATATAATAAAATTTAATAATAAAAATAAAATATTAAAACATTAAAAAGTATAAATGCTTTTAAGTTTTGTCCATGAGTGTATTTATATATATATATAAAAATAGAGATATATCGATTCAACTCAGCACAAACCTGTTTTTCTTTTGTCACATTTTAAATTTATTTGATAAAGTTCATATATTCTTAAAAAAATTGTTAATGAGAAATGTATAGAAATATATCATTATTTATAACATGTCACACCAAGAAATAAATATATTTTACACAAATAAATTTACTGGCAATGCGTTTCTTTTTATATTATTAGCTATTTAAAATTTTAAAAATGAAAAGTAATCATGTAATTTAAAGGAATATATAGAGGAATTCACTCGTTAATAAACATATTTACATATTTTGAAAATAGAGCAATCCATAAATAAATCTTAAATAAAAAGGTATATATTGGATCAAATATTCAGTTGGCTGAACGCCAACCTTTATCAAGGTGTGTTATTTAAATATTTACATATCTATTTCAGATCCAAATTAAGGTAAATAAGATAGAAATATAAAACCTATATATAAAAGTAATCTATTTCTGTACATCATTTTAAAAATGTAATAGCAATGTTCATTGATCGAAGGAAATAGGAAACCATTGAATTGAACCAATCACCTATCAAGAAAATGACACAATCTATAGGACGAACCGATTTGGAAAAAACATTTCCACAAAAATTAAACAATTTCTGGAACCGTTTCAAATTGAAAATGTTTTCTTTGTTATTATAAAATTGGTTTATATATAATTTTACATTAAAACCTGAACTATTTTTTTCCGACAAAAATAAACTTTCAGATCTTTTACCTTTTGAGTTAAATATTATTTTTAAATTTATATTATATAAAGTAAAATATTCCCTATAGAGATACTCAATTAGACTGAACATTTGGTTAACTATTTTAATTATAACCATCATAAAAAAAATATATAAAAATATTTACTCAGAATCAGTATATTTTCATTTTAAAATGCAAACTTTCAAGAGATTTATTTAAAAACTATGTACATAAAATAGATTAAACATTTACATGCAAATATCCACATAGGATATAGCGTGTTTTTGTAATAAAAGAAAAGAGATAATCGCTCTTCAGCGGGCCTAATAAAAAAAAACATCGACTATATCTTACAAGAAATATTTACAAATACATACATTCACAGCTATGCAAATATCCACGCTGCGCGCGTATGTATTTGCAAATATTTATTGTAAGATATAGTCGATTTTTTTATTAAGCCTGTTATAAAGAGCGATATTCGCTTGAATGTTTGCATTTTAAAATAAAAATAAACTCATTGTCAGAAAATATTTTTGTATTTTTAAACGTTTTTCACAATTTTAACATGAATAGCCATCAATTTTTATTAACAAGGTTTGCTATAGTTATGGACATTGTAGGCAAGGTTTATTATAGCCTTGGTAATTATGGTCAATATTTATTATAGTTAAGGTTAGGTATAGTAGGCATGGTAATCCTAGTTATGGTTTATCATTACTAATGTTCGCTATAGCCATGGAAATTATAGTCATGATTTAATATTAACAAGGTTATTTATAGCCATTGTTTTTAATATATGTAATAACTAATGTTCGCTATAGCCATGGAAATTATAGTCATGATTTAATATTAACAAGTTTATTTATAGCCATTGTTTTTTATATAGGTAATAACTAATGTTCGCTATAGCCATGGAAATTATAGTAATGATTTAATATTAACAAGGTTATTTATAGCCATTGTTTTTTATATAGGTAATAACTAATGTTGGCTATAGCCATGGAAATTATAGTAATGATTTAATATTAACAAGGTTATTTATAGCCATTGTTTTTTATATAGGTAATAACTAATGTTGGCTATAGCCATGGAAATTATAGTAATGATTTAATATTAACAAGGTTATTTATAGCCATTGTTTTTTATATAGGTAATAACTAATGTTGGCTATAGCCATGGAAATTATAGTAATGATTTAATATTAACAAGGTTATTTATAGCGATTGTTTTTTTATATACGTAATAACTAATGTTCGCTATAGCCATGGAAATTATAGTCATGATTTAATATTAACAAGGTTATTTATAGCCATTGTTTTTTATATACGTAATATCTAATGTTCGCTATAGCCATGGAAATTATAGCCATGATTTAATATTAACAAGGTTATTTATAGCCATTGTTTTTAATATATGTAATAACTAATGTTCGCTATAGCCATGGAAATTATAGTCATGATTTAATATTAACAAGTTTATTTATAGCCATTGTTTTTTATATACGTAATAACAAATGTTCGCTATAGCCATGGAAATTATAGTCATGATTTAATATTAACAAGGTTATTTATAGCCATTGTTTTTAATAGACGTAATAATTATAGGCATGCTGTACAATAGCCATGAGTTTTAATAGTCATGTTTTTTTTTACCGCGATTTGTTATATCCATGGTTACGAAACTATTTTAAACGCGTAATATTAAAAAAAAAAAAAAAATTTCTACTGTCCTTACTGCAATGGAAAAATATATTATATATTTATAATTATATGTAATTCAGCTGTCCTAAAAGCTTATGTCCATAGTTCATCTAAAATACCAATTCGAAGAGTCAAGCATCAGTATCACTATAAAAGAAAGTTCCAAAAATACAATATAACAGCGGTTATGGTAGATTAAACTGGCGAAACCGCTGGAAGGATTCATCACTGATGAGCCAGGCCCTCCCTTCAATTTTTCCATTGCAGTAAGGGCAGTAGAAATTGTTTTAAAATTAAAAAGAATATTACTCGTCTAAAATAGTTTCGTAATTTGATAACAGATGGCGCGCTAGTGCATCGTAATATCCATGGTTCATTAACACTATGGTAATTAGAGTGATTAATACTCAAGTTTGCTATATTTCAATGATATAGCCATGATTCACTATATTTTAACATTAGAATCGGTTATAATACATGTTCGTAATAAAGGCATCATATATCCCAGCAGTTCGTGTTTATTAATCTTCATAAATATTGAAGTACATAATGCATTATGTCTATTTATGTCTTTTATTTTTTGCTTATACCTAGTACACGTGGTACAGGATGATAAACATGGTGGGTAGAAGTACTCAGTGATGGGAATCGAACCCACAGTGGTCGGCTTATCGGGCAGATGCCATTTCCACTAGGCTACCCTGGACTGATGGGTAGAAGTAGACAACTGCTTTTACTGTAAGTGCACCACATGTTTACACATTTGAAAAACAGTTCGAATTTTCACTTACAAATGTGCCAGAGCCTCGTTTGGTTACTTGCACTCGCTTGTGGGGTTGGACTTTTGCAAGAATCGGGGGTCATTGGAGCATATTTTTTTATCAAAAAAATTGTCCAATGCGGGAATCGAACTCGGGTCCTAGCAGTTGAAAACCAATGGTTTAGACCATCGTTCCACCGACCCCCCCCCCCCCCCCCCCCCCCTTTAGGTTATATAAATTTGTGTATTTAGAATAAATATTGACCAATGATTGTACTTTATCATAACCTCTTGTTGATATGCATTGTTATGTCTATAAATCGAATGTAATGTTTAAATTGTCTGATAATAAATATTAAAAAGTGTCGGGAAACTTCGCAAAATAAAACGGGAATATATATAGTTCAAAGCTAATTAAACCAGCAACAGCGCCATTTTAAAGGTCCATGTGAACTTGGTCCGGATATGCCTTTTTTTGATTAAAAATAATATATACATATATATATATTCAAAACTATTTTAAAGGCGTAAGATTCTTTTTGATATTTACAAAGAGAAATTTTCAAAAATAATCTTACGCCTCTAAAATAGTTTTGAAATTTGATAACAGATGGCGCGCTAGTGCATCATATATATATATATATGAAAAAATAATAGAAAAAATAAAAGATAAATGGGTCAGGTGTTGATATTAAAAATAAACATCCTGGTCAGGAGATGCCTTTTTTATTTTTAATATATATGTCATAATTTGCCTAATGCCCAATCTGTATAATTTATTTTTTGCCATTAGAATGTCAAAATGTAAATACAAATTAATCCATATACAAATCTGTACAAAATAAAGGTGGGAGCCAGCGCGCGCCCACGAGTGTGGAACAAGTTCTTTTTCGAAGCTTACATGCACTGCGCCCTTCCATTCGACCACGAAGGATACGACATATATACGTATACTCCATACTCCCGTCGCTAAAATTTACTATTACAGAAAATAAAGAAAAAAGTATCATATTTACATAGTACAAATAAAAGGTAAGACCAATTTCATCGATCTCCAAAATAAGTATATTTCAGAAAGTATATAAATAATGATAAAAATACAATTATAATTGTAATATTAATAAATACTTTGGTTTAGAGATTTAGACATTTGTTACTCGCTACCAAACCTCTGCTTAAAAAAAACTGAAAAATGATTGCTTAATGAACTAAATTATGATTGAATGAGTTTAGTTACGTGATAGTAGTAAACTAATCAGCATGCAAATAAAATGGACGCATATGACTGGGAGCACAAATAAAACATTCTAAAGCGTATATTATGGTATAAAAATGGTTATTGTTAAAAATATATATATCATAATTTTATATCTGTTATTGTTTATTATATAGAATTTTCTTTCATTGATTTATTCCAAGCGATAAAATAAAGTTGTTGATATAAATTCACAAAAGGCAATTCTCTTATAATAATAAACGGAGAATATATTTTTTGAGAAACATCTGAATATATTTCTATTATAACTATTTTTTCTTTGTTTATTTTATATTTAATATGTGAATATTTCAATTTATATTATTTGTATAATATATTAAAGTGCTTTTACAATTTTAATTTAAGAAGATTGGGGGGAAAAAGCATTAAAGCGTTTACAACGTTTATTTCTTTACAATTTAATTTCCTTAAATTGTCGACTTTTTTTGTATTGTCACCCACATTATTTGAATCCAAACTCTTCTTTACCCATTACCATGGTAACGAGTAGTTTTGTAGAAGTTTTATCTTTAAATTGTGTACTAATAGACCGAGAAGTCTTTTTTCTTTTTTATCGTTTTTGTTGTTAACAATAAAGCGGCAGTTACTGTTCGAAGGAAATTAATGGAATCGCTAAATGTCGTGGTCCATTTGGATGAGGAAAGCGAAGACTAGAACGCTGCTGATTCCAAACTCGTCTTTTCAGTGATATGCCAACCTATGCACGATGGATTCTTTGGTCACTGGTCAATAGTTAACACAGAGGACAAGGCAGAGTCCAATGTCGAAACGCGACAAGATCCAAGAATGTGATCTGCATGAGAGAGAAAGAGAGAGAGAGAGAGATAATTTCTTGTTGTCAAGCACGTTTGTCGTTGAGGCAGATTTAAAACAAACTAACGACTTCTGAAATCGGACCTCGCTCTGTCCTGGGTGTGGCGGACTCTCAATAAAACTTAATTATTCTGTTTTTGTATTACATAATGGCCAAGCTATACATTGAATTGTATCTACATATTGGGACTGCTATTTATTTTCATGTTACATATAAGAATCAAAGTGAAATATTGAAATGTATTACTATATATATATATACACCAATACCTCGCTTTGCGTCGTTTCGTTTTGCGTTTTTTTCGAAGTTGCGTTGCTGCTTAATTTTTACTGATTTTCACTGTGCGTCGTTAGATTTTCGAAGTTGCGTTATTTTGGATTCGAGTCTTTAATTTTTTTTTTTAAAGATAGCAACACCTTTGTTTTTGATTGCGCCTTCACATATTTTCACTTTGCATCGTTTCAATTTGCGTCGTGTTTTTTTGGAACGTAACCCCGACGCAAAGCGAGATATGGGTGTGTATATATTAATAGTAAATATCTTTTGGAAAACATAGAAAAGTAAAATATGAAGAAATACAGATTTTGAATTTAACTTTGAGTCAGAACAGCAAGCTTATTCTATATGGAATAATACCGTTATGAGAATTTCAAAATTTATAAAATTTATTTTTAATTTAAAAATGTGAGATTTGTTTTTTTTTATATATGTAATAAATAAATAGAGTTAGCATATAGTAGTATTAAGGGAAATATATATTTCATCCGGTATGCTTTATGATAAACAAATTTCAAAGTTGAAAGATAAATTGTTAAAATATATAACATTTTAATATTCAATAGCGCTTATCAATATATATATGACATAATAAAAATATGATTTTTATTATTCATTAATATAATTAAAATTTTATATTCATAACCATAATATTTATTAATATTGTTTTCATAATATAACTAAAATTATAATTTAAATAATCAAAGAACTAAACACAGAGTTAATTTTTAAAATCCTTAACAAAAGGAGTACAACCAAATAGTTTTCTTTGTTTATAGATAGATAATAACATTATTAAATTGAATGTATTCAAACTGATTGTTTTAAAAAGTAATCAAAAAATAAATACAATTTTGGAAAATAAAAGTTATCATTCATTTCAATCCACGACTGCATGAATGAATTGGTAACGTACCTAGACGTGGTAACGTACCTTTTAAATGGATATATATGTCATAAAAAAACGTATGTCTTTTTTTATGACATATATATCCATTTAAAACTTTATTCATAAACTAAAAACGCAAATATTTTTATCTTTATATAAAATCATATTTATAACATTCTAGAGAAAGTATGAAATATTGAATTAGCTGAAAGGAATTCTAAATTTAATTATAAAATGAAGCTACATTAAATATAAATAGAATCTTATGTGTGTGGCTTATTAATATGAGGCAATAAAATATGAGATGAAATTATCTACAAACAGAATTTTTATAACAGTTTTCAGTAATTATATATACTTTTTTATACTAATAAACAAAAAATAAATAGAAAGAGAGATGTAATTATTGTTCCATAAATTTATTTTAAAATTATTTAAAAAGTTTATTGATGTTATAGATTTGAATTTAAAAATGATAATTTTCAAATCACACGTTACACGTTTTCATAAAATTGAATCAACTTTTTAAAATGATTTTTATTGATTTTTTACGCGAATTTACTGCCTTTTTATTCTTTAACCTAAATTTATAAAATGTGGATTTCTTTTTTTTTGAATTTCTTCTAATTGAATTAATTTAAAAAACCTTTCTTTAATATTCGAATAACTTATTTTGATATTTGAATATCTATATCGAATATAATAGAATTATAAAAACAATTTAAATACACGATTTATTTTTCAAAAACACTTATTGTTAATTTATTTTAATGTAAGTTTTATAAAATATTTTAGCCATTTTATCTCGGATATCAAAATTATATTTGTAATCGCTTTTATAAGAATTGAAAGAATCAAAGGATGAATATTTCTCTCAAGGGGGTCGGTGGAAGGATGGTCTAAATCGTTGGTTTTCGACCGCTACGGCCCGGGTTCGATTCCCACATCGGACACTTTTTTCTCATAATAAAAAAATGCTTCAACCCCACCAACGAGTGCAAGTAACCAAACGGGGCTCTAGCACATTTGTAAGTGCAAAGTCAAACTGCTTTTCACATGTGTAGACATGTGGTGTACTTACAGTGAAAGCAGTCGCCTACTTCTACCCACCATGATTATCATGGTCTGTACCACGTATACTAGGGATAAGCAAAAAAAGATAATATTTCTTTTACTAAAAATCAAACTTTTTCTACTGTCTTTATTGTGCGATAAAAAATATTGGGAGGGCTTGGCTCATCAGCGATGAACCCTCTAATGCAGTAAGGACAGTAGAAAATTTTGTTCAATTTATTAAACATTCTCTCTCTCTCGTGCTTTAATACGTTAATTATTATACAGTAAACCTGTCCATAGCGTAACCTCTAAATAGCGCCTCCCTATCTATAGCGCCCGATTTTAAAAACGTAATACGATGCGATTTACATTAAAATTTACCTGTCTAAAGCACCCCCTCTCTATATCACCCTATTTTGGTGAGTCCTCAAGGGGGCTCTATAGACAGGTTTAACTGTATGTAGATGTCACGTTATATTGCCTTTTAATTTATAATAAGTTTTATTTTAATAATATAGAAAAGTATCTCAAGGCCTAATTTATTTTTCACTTTATAGTACTCAATGAATATCGATTTTATTATATTGTTAAGTAGCTCCATCCAGATGGGACACCTGTCAATCATCCCTGGACCC